TCTTTTTGCGGTAGGCGGGCCTCTCACTGCTGTGGCCTCTCCCGTTGCGGAGCACAGGCTCTGGATGTGCAGGCTCAGAGGCCATGGCTCACGGGCCCAGCCGCTCCGCGGCATGTGGGATCTTCCCGGACCTGGGCACGAACCCATATCCCCTGCATCGGCAGGCAGACTCTCAACCACTGCACCACCAGGGACGCCCTCCCTTTATTTTAACTTTTAGATGCACTTGCTGTATTCAAACAAATTATGTAGTTATTATTTGCTTTTAAAATCAATTCACTAGAAACTCACTGAAGACTTACTACATGCAAGAAACTTGCAGGAGGGCTGATGAGATTTGGCAGTGAGTGTAGTTATAAGAGGGATATATAAATGCACAAGATATTATCCCTTCTACTAATTTGGGAATAAACAATGTGCTTTTGTTCATACTCCTCCCTCATATTGGAATGCCATTTCCCTAGTCTCTAACATTAGAATCTCCACATCCTTCAGTTGCTTCCCCGTGAAGCCCTTTCCAGAATGTCATAATCAGAGTTCATTATCTCTATGTACTCTCTAGGGGTCACTATACATCTATATAGCATTACTCATTTTGGTTTTTAGTTGTTTTTGCTTTCATGCCTAATTATACCCATTAAAGTTGTGCTATTCAATTTAGATTAATTACAATGAAATAATATGAAAAATTCAATTTTTTGCCTGAACTACCACGTTTCAATTGCTCAATAGCCACATGTGGCCCATGGCTGGACAGCACAGATTTAGACCATTTCTACCACCACAGAAAGTTCTGTTGGATAGAAGTGCACTAAATTCTAAGCTTCTTAAAGACAGAGGCCATATCATTTAAATTAATACGTTTCAAAACTTAAATAATAATAAATGTGAAATAGGTGTATCTCAGTGGTGATGTGGGGCAAGGAAGAAAATCAGGATTATTCGTCAGATAGATACAGCTGTGCATTATTTAAAGTGTTAATTAAAGTGGGCTCTGTTGTATTTGAAAAGATTGCATTAAACTCTAAAGAAAGACAAGTCTATTATGTTTGCTGAAATAAATATAGGTACTAGGGATTCAAAGAAATCACAAAGACCACATGTAATATTGAACTCAGTTTTAACAAATGTGGTCACAGTGAAGTACTTGGATTAAAAAGATGATATCTGATTTTTATCTATCAATCTAGTATCTATAATATCTAATGTACATTCCTATTCAAAATTCTTCAGAGTGAAATTATTTTATGGACTTGAAATATAATTTTTAAAGAAATATTATATTCTAGGGTTGCAAATTCTAAGAATTTCTTCAGTAGTACCAAAGAAATTTCTAAAATTTCTAAAAAGTTCTGTACCAGTACTAAAAAAGTTTTATTTTTTACTAGTACAATGAAAAAGTAAGTTACTGCATTTATTTGAACTTAAAAAATAACATAAAATTATTGGTTTGGTAGAAATATACTACCTCCTTTTCCAGATATATAACCATGTAGAGCCATGAAGTTTATTCATTGCACACATTGACCTTCAATTTCAGTATATTGTTCATAAGTAGAATGGGGATTCTGCAGGGGGATTAGGTCTAGTACATGGGAAGGTGTATGGCCTTTGTACTCTGACTTGGCTACTGACTGACAGTGTGGTCTTGGGCAGATTACTTAACAGTTCTGAATGTTTTCACTCATTCTGAGTTGGGGCTACTGACCTTTACCACACAAATGTATTATGAAGTTTGTGGAAATAGGTATTGAAGCAGCAAGCACCTGTCTGGCATGTACTACCTATCCTTCCAATACTAAGTTTAATACCTGCCAGCGTCCTTCCTTTTGAACCCGTCAGTATCTTTACCACCTAATTTAGCCCAAAAACCCAGAGATTCCATGCTTGATTTTTTTCTGATGAATGATATTTTTTGTTTCTTATCATTGTTTGCCCGTAGATCTTTTCTCTCTTATCCATGTTTCTTCAATGGCAACAGCTACAATCTGAGACAAAGAAAAGGCCATTTTAATGGGCATAGACAGAGGTAACCTATGCCATTAAGCTTGATAATAGCTTAAAATAACATAAAACTCTCAAAATTAAAAGGGATTTTAGAATATTATATGCTACTTTATACACCAAGAATGGCAACATTGTTTATTTGATTGGGCTGTCCTGAAGATTTGTACTGCATAGTAAAAACATTTGTCATTCTAAGGACCATTAGCCCATGGGGTGATGCCCACTTGAATGCTGTGATGACTCAGGAGAAGGAATAAATAACATTTCTTTGCCTGATGTGAAGCAGCCCCTTCACACACACACACACACACACACACACACACACACTCACTCACACACACACACACACACACACACTCTCTCTCTCTATCTGACCTAATTTCCAGGCTTTTGTTCGTTTTGAACCCCTTCCCTTAATGTCTACTTCTTTAACCAACTGATTTGCTATGCACAATATAGGTTTTTGGAGTGAGGGAGCTCAGGTTTCTGAATCCCATGCTTTGACTACTACTTAATTAATCTCTGACCTAAACGATAGCCTTGTGTTTCTCATCTGTGTAATGGGAATAAAAACACCTGGTATGTTATTTTGTTTTGAATTTTAAGTGGGAAATAGATGTTTACAAAATTCCTGACATACTTTCTTAATAAATATTGACCTTCCCCTCCCTTACTTTTTTAAAGGTATGTTGTGAGGATCCAATGATCCAGTGAACTAACATGCTGTATACTAAGAGGTGAAGAGCTTAGAATTTTAGTCAGACCTGTGTTCAAATCTTGGCTTGGCCACTTATTAGCTGTGTGACCCTAGGGTATTAATTTATTAAAATAGTTTCTTAAGAGCTTAGAATTTGAGTCAGACCTGTGTTCAAATCCTGGCTTGGCCACTTATTAGCTGTGTGACCCTAGGGTATTAATTTATTAAAATAGTTTCTTAATTTGTAAAATGGGAATAATAATTTGTATTTCATGTAGCTGTGGTGAGGGTAATGTGAAATGTATACAAATTGCTCTGGACTGGACCTCATGTCTTCTATACATTACTAAGCTCTTTTTTTTTTTTTTTTTTGCGGTACACGGGCCTCTCACTGTTGTAGCCTCTCCCGTTGCGGAGCACACGCTCCGGACGCGCAGGCTCAGCGGCCATGGCTCACGGGCCCAGCCGCTCCGCAGCATGTGGGATTTGCCTGGACTGGGGCACGAACCTGTGTCCGCTGCATCGGCAGGCGGACTCTCAACCACTGCGCCACCAGGGAAGCCCACTAAGCTCTTATCAAATCACTCTACTCAAATGATTATTTGTGGTCTGAGTTATGTTCAGCTTCTCTAAAGGTATCTTCTAAACTGGATTTTAAGTTTTGGAGTGTTAGGGGCCAGATCTGACTATCTGTAGCACCACCTAGGATACTACCAGTTGCATTATGCCAATGTTTGTTCAACTTAGCAACCAATAGAAAAAAATTATCGAGATTTTTGGCCTGCCCACCCATCAGCCACTACCCTCGGGATAGTTAATAAGAGCAACAGGTTTGGGTAACTCATTACTTGTAATAAAAGCTGCATCAAATTAATGGACTTTTCAAGTATTAAAATGGCACAATTGTATTATATGACTAGAACTCTATAAAAGATTATGTACTTGGCTCACATTTATATAATATGCATTCATTTATTCCATACCTAGGCCATATCTACTGCATTACTGAAAAAAAATGTGTGTGTGGTCTACCATGGATGTTATGTAATACAGCCACTACTTAGATTCTCCTGATGTGTTCTCTGTGCTCTCCAGTGACTTCATAATGACTGGTTTTAGGGAAGAAAGTAAAATAAAGTGAAGAGAGAAAGGGAATTGAACATAAGTAAAAGGCGTAAAAGGGAGAATGATCAGGTTGAGTAGATGGTACATTCCACCAAAGACTACCTTAGTCATTGCTAAGTCATTGACCTATTTAGTATCAGTTTTCTTGTTATAGTTTTTGTTGTTTGAAAATATCATCCTTATAATATCATTTGTAAAATTATAGCTGTGGTGAACTTAAAGATGTACTTTTTAAATGTACTAAAATTGATTGTTTGGGAGCATGAAGGGTAATTTAAAAACATACTCAGACAACGAGGAAAAATAATTTTGGAAACCAAAATTTTAATATCTCAAAATTAAAATAAACATTTTCAATGCTTTTCAAAATCTTACTTTTTTCTTCAAGATTTGCTTATGCAAAAAAAATTTTTTTAATATAATCTATGATTTCATGCACTATCCCTGTGAGGTAGATCTTACTTAACTCCTTATAAGAAATAAAGAGCACAGAAAGTTGAAGGGTTATCTTAAATCTCACAAAATATGAAATAATAAGAATGGGATTTTAGGGTTTTAAGTTCTCCTTCCTGATTCATTATTTTGAGCCTTTTATGTGGTCCTGTTTATGGAGAAATTGAAAAGTAAGCAGGTTTAGGGCCTGATTGCTGTGTATTGTTTTCAGATCACAGGAGATGCAAGCTTCCAGTTTCTGTTGTTATGTTTGTTTAACGTTTCTCTGTAAATCAACAAGGCTTGTTTCATCTAGTCTTAGCCAAATCAAGCATGATCCCCATACTTTTCCATTTGTGTTTGAAATTATAGTGAAAGTACTCATCATTATAGTGTTTATTGAAGTGAAAACTTGTATGTGATTGTATGAATGCCTAATAGACTTGAAGTAAAGGCTGTCAAATTCAAGAATGTTTGGAAAGATTGCATGTGTCTTCTCTACCATGTATTTGTGGCATTTGTGGGGGGGGTCTAAATTTTTTGATTTAGTTCCATAGTAAAGAACTTATTAAAAGTTTTAAGATTTCTCAATTGCTCTTAAGTAAGATATATGAGAAGCATTTCTTTTGGATAAATGCTATGTAAAGTTAACAAGAAAGTAAGGTTATTTTCTTGTACTCTGTTCTCTGATTTCAATCTCTTTTTCATCTCCTTGTTTTTATTTTTTTCTTAACTTTAGAGGGCTGCTTAAGTATCAAACTAATTTAGATACGCACCCTCCTGGCTGCATCAATCTTAATGGAACCCGCTACCAGAATATTCACTTACCAGAGTATCTCTCAGAACATTTTCATGAACCTTTCCCTGGAGGATTTTCAAAACCAGATGAGCTTACCCAGAACACATTTGTGAAGATTTGTATGGAAGAGCCCAGGTTCCAAGCTAATTTTCCACAGGTCAGATTAATTCTATGTCTTTAATAGTCTCTGCAAAGTCCATGTTTCCATAACAATTGATCAACATTGTATTTAGACATGTTTTTGAAGGTAATGAAGCAATTCTTCTTGCAGAAGAGAATGTTTCAGGATGTTTCAATAGCAAGTTAGTACCTATTGTTTCATTATAGGCAGCCGACAGCTCAACGAGAAAGACCTATGATATTACAGAATATAGAAAATCCCTGCTTAACTGATCGTATGATCTTTGCATACTGTGGCACTGGTACTTGCCACAAGAAAGGTAGCAAAGATATTTTCCTTATGCATTGAGAAAAATAAGTTGAATAAGGAAAACAATAGTGAAAAAACTAGTACTACTACTAATAGTTATTATGGTATATTATAATATTATGGTACAATATTATATATAATATTATAAATACTAAACTGTAAAATCAGTTTATTGAATGCTTAATATCGTCTGCTAGGAACTATGCTAAAATATGTTATATGCACAATTTCTTCAGTATTCACAACTCTTTGAAGTAATTAGTATCATCCTCAATTTTCTGATGAGGAAATTGTGGCTTAAATACATAAAATACCTTGACCAAACTCTACAGGCTAACACGTGGGAGAAGTAGAGTGTAAAACCAGGTTGTTGATTTGCTCTTAGAAAACTTCTTTCCCAAAGACCCAGCCAGTAGTTTGATAAAGGTCCTAATCTTCCCTTGTGGCCATGGGAGCTGCCCACATGGGTATTATGCCCTGTATTCTTTGTCTGTAGCAAGTGAAAATCAGGGAATAGTGATGTTGAATGTCTGTTTTAAGAAGAAGAAAGGGGGGTCAAAAGGTCGAGTTTGTAGATGACCTTGGAGTGAGTGTTAGTCTTGTGTTTATTATTAATAATAACCCTCTAGATTCCTATTAGACTTTACAACCTTCATTGCTTTTCTGGGCTTCACACAATGCTATATGTTAGGGAGGGCAGGTATTGGGACTCCCACTTTACTTGTGTGCGACCTGATGCTCGAATGGTGACTGTCCCAAAGTTGCAGAGCTTGTTCTGTGATGCTTACTCTTCACACAGTTTCTAACCAAATGTGAGGAAGAGGCATGATTTGAGTGGAAGAATATAGTTCTGGAATAACTCTGTAAATAAGGTTTAAAAAAGTGACCATGGAAATAAGTTTGGGTTGGAGGCCTCCAGGTGTTGAGGGAGGTAAAGTATGCAGCTGTAGGAGAAAGGTTGGCTACACAGGTTATGCAGTTATCCTGGGATCAGGGCTATCCCTCCAGAACACGTGCAAAATTGTCATGGTTTCCAAATTCTAAATATTATCTGCTATTCATATTACATAAAAGTAAGTTGTGAACAACACATGTGGTATACCCATATTTAAAAATATGTGCATATACGTATTTTACGTTGGGTATACATTTTGTATATGTACATTATGCGTATACATTGTGTGCATTAACAATATCTAAGGTTCTCATTTTTTTTAACAAACATTGAACTGGTACATTTTTGTTAAAATCATCTTCAGATTTATTTGAGCTTTTACTTCCCTTTCTTCTTTTGTTAGATAAAGATATTGTATATATATACATTATATATTTCTGGTGTGCACAGAAGGATATATGAAACAATGTATGCTTACCTGTTAATGGTAGTTATACCCTTAGCAATGGCTAGAGGGTAGGGTCTTGATATTACTTCCCCTTTTATTTCATACTTTACTCTTGTTTAAGTTGCAGTGAGCATCTGTTGTTTTTTACGCATTTTTCTTTACACTTTGTTATTTAAAATACAGATTAAAATATTATTACTGTTCTTGCTTCAGCAGCACATATACTAAAATTGGAACGATACAGAGAAGATTAACATGGCCCCTGCTCAAGGATGACAGGCAAACTCATGAAGCGTTCCATATTTTTGGCCATGTAACTTGCTTTGGCCAATGGGATGCTAGTGGATGTGATGTGAGCAGAGGATATGATGTGTGTGCTTGTCTGATTGGGCTTGTCCTCTTGTACTTCTGCCAGCACCATGGCAAGAGCATACCTGGGTAGCCACTGCTCCTCAAGCTTTGGTCCTATGATGTGATACATGGAACAAACACCCCAGTTGTCCTACAGTTATGTTACCAAGAAATAAATGTTTATTATTGAATGCTAAAAAATATATATTATTACTGTATTATTACTGTAATGTGTCAAATAAGCAGTTGGGCAGGATATAAAGATTCTTATAATACAAGTGTTTCTGAAAGTGTATTTCAAAAATTCTCCATTAGACCTGGCTTTGGATTTCTGGACCTTTGTGCCTGTATTGTGCTGAAAGGCTTTACAGGTGTATCCGGAGCAATAAACCAGTCACCATCATCTCAGTCATAAGTCATCCCTCAGATGTCATGGAAATCCGAATGGTCAAAGAAAATTTTAAAGCAAGACCTGGCCAGGTGAGTCAGTGTCCGGAAACTTTTAAAATACCCTTTATCTTTACATATTTTTTGAAAATTAGCATCATTAGACTATTTGGATTTCTTTTCTGGTCATTTAAAAATTGTTTGTTGCTTTTTAGTATATTGTTCTACATTGTCCCAGTGTGTCCGCATTGGAAAACCATCCATTTACTCTCACAATGGTAAGAAACTTGTTTTTCGATTTTTTAATTTTTAGAATGAAATGTGTCTTTTTCTTTTTGTGTGTGTACACTCCACTCCACTCCATATCATTCAAACCTGTCACAATATCCTTAATGTTTAAATAAGCCATCTTTTTACAAAGAACTATAATTATTCAGAAACTTTTAAACTATTTATTATTTTCTACAACTTTAAACTTCAGGAAATAGTATATTTAATTCATTAAACCTTGTTGATTCAAAATGCAGAAAATTTCCTGAATATTTGGACTCCTCCTTTTATGAATTATGTACCAAAATATAGTATGTGCATGATTTTCTTTAGAGAGATTAAAATTATAGAAAAGGAAATTACTCTGGGTTGAGGTGGAAGCATAAGAAAATGTTTAGAAAAGAAAAAGCCCAGTATAATTGGCACCCAGGTTGTGTATGGAGAAAGGAAAGGAAAATAAGGTCAGAAAAATAAAATGGAATAATTATGAGGGGAAATCTAGCTAAATAACGGCATTATCAAATATTGTTAGCCCATTGTTTCACGTTACTTTTTTCCATTATACAAATGGCATGAACCCATTATAAAAAAGTAAACAATTCACAAGCATGTATGATCACATTATAACTTTTCCTCATTTCCCCACTCCCCAGTCCTTTTCTTGAATTTGACCTATAGTCTTCCAGATATTTTTCTGTATACTTTGGCATATATAGGTGTCTGGCATTTGTTTACTGGATCCTTTGTTTTATCATTTTCTCTTTTTACACAACAATATGTCATGGACAACTTTCCATGTTACCGTATTTGTATATGCCTCATTCTTTTTGATCACTGTATAATATTTCATGGTAGGAATGTACTGTAATTTATTTAATATTCCCCATTGATGATAGAGGTTAAGATTTTATTCAGTTTCTAACAAAGGTAACTGAGACAGGGACCACATGTTTAAAATATATGCTAAGATATGCAAATAAAATTGAACAAATTATGAGGGAGAGGCCAGAAAAATAACTGGTGTCAAAGTGCTAAGGTTTAGGGATGAGGCTGTGCTGGGATTGGAACCGCTGTTAAATTTGTTGTATTAGTCAAGTTGAAAATTTGGAAACCTTGGCCAAGTTACTTCACCTTTTTGTACATTCATTTCTCAGTGTAATATTGTGATAAAAGCAACAGCGATTCAAACATTTATGAGTTTAAATGAACTACTACAAATAAAGTATGTAGAACACAGCCTGGAACGTGAAGTGTCAGGTACATGTCAATACATGTTAGCAAGTATTATGATTTTTATTTTCAGTGTGAACTTGTCCCTTGAGAACATGTATTTGTGAAGATGGCTAGGCCAGAAAATTTTGTATTTAAAGGATAAAACAAGCAGAAAGGAAGTGTCAAACGGTTAGAGAAAGAACAGAAGTTATTTATCCAATAGCAATCTTTAAAAAGAAAGAGAATTTTTTGCTTCATTTGCTCCAAATTTTGCATTCCGTTTGTATGTAGCAAATTTATTTATCTATTTATTTATTTTTAATTTGTCTTCCAGTTTTATTGAGATATGATTGACATATACCACTGTTTAAGGTATGCAGCATAATGATTTAGCTTACATACATCATGAAGTGATTAGCACAATAAGTTTAGTGAACATTTGTCATCTCATATAGATTCAAAATTAAAGAAGTAGAAAATAAATGTATTTTCCTTGTGATGAGAACTCTTAGGATTTACTCTGTTAACAGTTTTCATATGTATCACACCGCAGTGTTAATTATATTTATCATGTTGTATATTATATCCCTAGTACATATTTATCTTATAACTGAAAGTATGTACCTTTTGATGGCCTTCGTCCACTTCCCCCTCCCCATGCCCCACCCACCTTCCTCTGGTAACCATAAATCTCATCTCTTTTTCTTTTTGAGTTTGTTTGTGTCTTTATTTACTTTTGAAGTATAATTGACCTACAGCACTATGTTAGTTCTTGTTACCCAACATAGTGATTCGATATTTCCATATGTTTCTAAATGATCACCATGATAAGTCCAGTTACCGTCTGTCATCATACTAAGATATGACATAGTTATTGACTGTATTTCCTAGATTATTAATTATTGAGGAAATGTAGTTTGGTATCTAGTGAAATAATTAACAACATTCCATTTTATCACGAAAGATGGCAACATTGGCCTACCTTGGAGACAGGTATAGTATAGTAGTTTATAGTCATTATAGTAATTTACAGTAGTTATAGTATATATATATATATATAGTCTACATATAGTAGTATATATATAGTAGTTATAGTAGTTTCTCCAATAGTGATGATAGACACCCTTTCATCTGGTGCTGTGTGGGCTGCAGGTGACAGTGAAAGGGGAAATGTGTCACCATGAGTAACAGTGGAAACTTAGTTGCCCTCATGAGATATAAAACCAACAGGAGTCCTGAGGCCATCAGGAGCCAAGTAGCCATGTCACACCCTTCACTCCTGTAGCACATGCACACCCTACGGGGTGGCTGAATAAGATTGTCCACATCCTATTAGGACAGCAGGAAGCTTGGGGAGTAAATCTGATCAACAACCCTTCAGCTCAGTCATGAAGCCATTTTCATGTGATTGCATCCACTACAGTCAGAAGCACTGTGCTTTAGTTCTGATAGTTGTAAGACATGTTTCTATTTCTCTGCATCCCTACATCCTGTAGGCATAAATTTGGTAACATAAAAAGGAGAAGAATGAAAAAGGGAGAAATACACAAGTAAGTTGTCTTGATAGAGTAGTTTAGGAAGTTTGGCCCAATCTTGGGGTCATATGAAATTTACTTCAGAAATTAACCTTTCTTTGTGTTTGAAAGTTTTTTCCAGGTTTATTGAGGTATAATTGAAAAATGAAAATTGTATATATTTAAGGTGTACAACATGAGACTATATTTTGAAAATCGTTTCTTCATCATAGCGTTAGGTAGAGAATATGGAATAAGAAAAGAAGGCGGTTGCTGAATGTCAACTACAGAGAAGAGAGGGATTTTTTATAAAAATGTTTTTCAACATACACAAAAGTAGAGAGAATAGTATAATGAACTCCCACATTTCCATCACCCAGCTTCAACCAAAAAAAAAAGAAGAGTGTTTACTTTTGAGTATATATTCTGTCACTGAAAACTTTTATGTTCTCTCAAAACAGAAAATCCAGGAACTTTTCACCTGTGTTACACACTGAGTAGATGCTTCTAGATCTAGTGTCTTTCATCTGGCCTAGAACTTTTTTACAGGGCAAAAGAGAAATAACATAAAGTGTTGTGTAGAATCTGAAGGGCTTTAAGCAAATGCTTTATGTGGCCTGGTCTGCTTCCTGAAAGCTGATTGGGGAAGAGCTGTGGTAACCCTGTAGCTGGCTTGAGGCACGGATGGGAGGAAAAGAAAAGAGGAGAAGGGAACATAGGGAACAGAAGAGCAGCAACTGGAAATAGGAGAGAGAGCTAAGAAAGGGAGAACAAATGACATGTGAGGTCAAAGGTAGTAAATATTCACACAAATGACAGGAACTTTAGAATTCAGTCCCAACTCTGTCACTTATTAGTTCTGTCTGTGAGTGGATCTCTGCTCTCATCAACTCCCAAATAGTAGTGTTTGGCTATGAATCAAAAGAAAAGATAGGGATAGCAGTCTAAAGATAAAACAAGCTAAAATGATATAAGAATTTTCTCAGGTACTTTACATTTTGTTGTGTGAATGAAGGACTATTTACATTCCCCCACCCCCCCCCCATGGAATCCTAAGGTGTAAGAATAAAAAAAAAAAAAAAAAATTCTTTTCCCCCCCCCCCCCCCCCCCGGTATGCGGGCCTCTCACTGTTGTGGCCTCTCCCGTTGCGGAGCACAGGCTCCGGACGCGCAGGCTCAGCGGCCATGGCTCACGGGCCCAGCCGCTCCGTGGCATGTGGGATCTTCCCGGACCGGGGCACGAACCCGTGTCCCCTGCATCGGCAGGCGGACTCTCAACAACTGTGCCACCAGGGAAGCCCACAATACATTGTTCTTGGAGAAAGAATATTGGTTTAGTGACTACTTTGAGAAATAGGATGTATTTGGCTGGGTGCAGAGACGGAAGAGCTTCTCCTCAACTCAGTGAAGCGCTGTTAGGTATACAGTCCTCATGAGTCTCCTTATGAGCAGCTTCCTACAGCAAAGGACCATCACCCTGACTCTAAAGGAGGTCTCGTAAGTCCTCAGCACAAGGGCTCTGTGTCCACTACAGGTTTGTTTCAGAAGATTCAGGGTTGGAGTGTGTTGGATGGAGGCAAAGAGGTTGGATGCCTGGGATTCTGTATCCATCATAGTTTTTCTTCTTTCTTACTTTTTTCAATTAAGAAAAGATTTTTCCTTTTTCCTTCTGCTTCTTCCAGGCCAGTCTTCAGTTCTCTTTAAGGAACATGGTTCTCTGAAAATTCTCTAAGAAAAACAAGAAAGAAAAGACCTAAAATAGTTTGGAAAATAGTGGTTAGTGTATATCGCTTTTAAAAATTCATAGTTTCTCTTACCATATTAATGGTTTTAAGATGTTCTTTAATAAATAATCCCATTAAATTTTATTCACCCATTTATTTAACCCTTTTCTACTTTCTCACTTTTAGATCTTTGTCTAGACTAATCTCTTTGCCCTAGAAACCAACCACTGCTTCTTCCACTTATTCACTCTCCAAATACCATACATTCTCTTGACCTTTTCCTTTTATAAGACCCTGTATATTCTCTTCAGCAATTAGTGCCATTAAATTACCTGTTTAATACCTGTCTTCCTCCTAGACCATAAGCTCCAGGAACCCTTTCAAAGTTACGTTCATAGCACAGCATCTGGTACACGGAGTATCACAATATATATCTGTTGAAAGAGTGAAAAACGCTTAATATATAATTAGTGTTTGGGACTTACCTTGAGAAATACTTCATAGATGGATTGTCTTTTCCTCCCATCTCTCACTTGGAAGGTGAAGCCAGAGAAAAGG